ACTTTTCAGATAGGTAAACGGGTCAAACCCGTTAACCTGTTGGGTCAACCCGTTATTGACCCATTACCCGTCGGGTTCTGTTAACGGGTTATTAACGGGTCACGGGTCATAAACATCTGACCCTAACCCGTTTTAAACGGGCGGGTAACAGGCGGGTTAACGGGTTGAGTAAAAAATTGCCAGGTCTAAGGGATGGGCATCTTTATCCGAAACCAATAAAAGCACCCGGAATTGCAACTTTCGGGTCGGGCTTTTTCACTCAATTGGGTTGGGTCGGGTTTGGGTTGTAATTGAGGCCCAGTTGGGCTGTTATTGTTTTTGGGCTCAGAAACAGTAAACCGCTGGACTAGGGCCAGACAACTGACACACCCAGCCTTTCTTTTGTATTTTCTTCTGATATTTTTTTTTCCTTTCAACTCTTTTGCATTTATGCTTTTCTAAGGCAATTCTGACTTTTTTTTAGTTGTTTTGAATTTCAAATTCCGTATGACAACATCTTACTTTAATTAAACATTTTTATTTTTTAATTAATAAGTTAGGATTTTATTTCATCCATTAAGTTATAACAATCAACTTATTTTGGATGATTAGATTTAAATCCCATTAGGTTTTTTCTTTTTTTTTTTTTTGGTTTACTTCTCACTTTTCTTGTTTGCGGTACTCATCTTCTCCTGCCTCTTTCCATTTCAAAGCCCCTTTTCATCTTCCTCAATAAAAATAAAAATAAAAAAAGAAAAACGAAAAACGCTTTTCTCCAACTCTCTCTTTTCACTTCTCAATTCTCTCAAATCCCATATTTGCACCAAAAACCCATTCTCTTTTTCAATCCTTTCTCTTCATTACTTTGGTACTTTCTTTCCTGTCTTTCTCGCACCTTCTTTGATTTGTTATCGGAAAACTGCTATTGCTTGACTGGAAATTTGGTTAAAAACCGAAATCAGTACCGATGCCAACCGAAACCAACATGCCCGAAATCGATAAAACTCGAAACATCACAGTTTGGTATTCCGTTGTTAAAAATAAAAACCAAAAACTCAATTAACTAAGATCTTTTTGGTTGCAGCCGAAGCGACCCGATGCCAACCCCGTGCCTACTTTCAATTTCTCGTGTCTTGATCCAAATCTCTGCTGGATTTGGGTTTTCTCTTCCTACACATGGGGGAAAAGACTAATCAAATCAAAATCATGATCATTGTTGGAAAGAGTTAAAACTTCGGTCCGGAGCTCCTGAGACAGTGTTCTAGCAATCTGATTATTACTTGATTAGGAAGAATTAAATGGTGATTTTTGGTTCCGCTATGCTCTCATTGAATTGACTTCCATTAACCAATATTCAAGGGTTGAATCATCACATTAAAAAACATTGTAAGTACTAGTATTGTTTAGATTAGATTAGAATTAGAATATTCATTGGGAAGGGGTTGTTCTCACCACAAGCCCTAAAGCTAAATTCACAGAGAAATATTTTTAATTCATCCTTGGAAATAATTCTAGGTGCTAGCATTACCACCGAAGCTTCCTTGTAATAACAGCGGAAGCTCATGGAGAAACTACCCACCCCACTGGGCAAGCTAGCCACCAAGCTCAGCATGCATATAAAACAATCGCAAACTTATACAGGATGGGAACAATATCCAAATGTCGGGTAACAATTCTAGTCACCTGACTCCCCGGAAACTAACCACGGTGATGAGTGATGACTTCAATTTCGAGCTCCCAGAGGAGTACCATTTGATGCTTGATGGCAGGTGGGAGGATTATCAGGCAGCTGCTTTCAGTTGTGTGTTTATCAAGAATCCCTACTAATCAAGCAAATGAAGTTTGTGAGGCTGGAGGTACCAGCATTTGTTTCCACTTTATGTTCTTGTTCAATTGGCTTTCTTCACTTCAAAAAGCATTTCTAATAGGTCCATTAGTTTTCTTCACACCACAGTACATGACTCAAGAAAATTTCATTTTAACCCATAATTCATTAACCTCAAATTTCTTAATTTCTTCTCACTTTGGACAATTGATAATCTCTATTTTGACATTATTATTATTGCTTCTCATAATTAAATTGTAATTTTTTTGGGTCACAAAACCTTTACATGGATGCCTGCAATTTTGTTAGGAAAAAAAATTTTTGCCACATACATTGAAGAGCCTTTTTTACATAATTTTGTGTAAACTAAACTGTAAAAGTAAACTTTTGAACGAAGGGATAGCCCCACATTCGAGGGGCCTCTCCTAACCCAAGTATCAGTGACCGAACTACCGATCCGGAGACGCTTCTGTATATTCAATGGTTCATATAATCCAGAAAAGCGAATCGCTAAACCGGCCGTCCGCCCCAAATCCAAACCGCAGACGGCAGATCCTCACAAGAAGGATGGATAAGATCGTCATATATACCAATGGAACCGCGGGTCCATCCTGTAGACACTCGGCCGATAATAAGCAGTATAGCTAATTAGCTTAGAGCTTAACGCGCGGCTGCCAGGAAGAATAGCGCGCGCGCGCTCGCGCGCGAGCGGCGTTTCTCGCTACTCCAAACCGCGTAAAGAGAAGAGTCTTCTTTCCTATCCAATCCTCTCTCTCTCCTAATCCGTTCTAGAGAATTCTGATTCAACCCCCTTCATCATCTTTAATGCCTGCGCTTTTTTGACTCTATAAGTCTCATCCCAGACTCCCACTCCACACCATACACTCCTCTCTCCAGCCAGTAACTCGGTCGATCTGCCCTCCGTCCGCCAAAGATCATGTCTCTTTTCAGGCTTTCGAACTGCTTTAACCATACTCACATGGCCAGGAGGAGGCTAGGACAGAAGAGACATTCGAGGCGACGGACAATAACGCACCTACTACAGGTAGAAATTAACCAAATCTTTCTAGATCGGGTGTTGCAGAGTTTTGAACACCTCATGTCAAGCCTAATTTGAAGTTCACCTCTTTTTTTTTTCTTTTTTTTTTAATCAGAATTTTTATTCATTTTGGTAAAGGAAAAGGAGCGGATGGAGAGGAAGATAGAGAGGATGCGAGCAAGAACAAAACGGCTTAAGAAATCAGAGAAGAAAGCCGAAGTGAAGCTGGGACGAATTCAAAATCAATTTGAAGAGGTCAGAATAGCCAATCGGCAAGCACATCAGCGAGTATACCAGGAGAATGCTTTCACCGACATCCTTGTCCTTATTTATCTTGCCATTTTCGAAGCTGTAGATGCAGGCGACTTCCTCACCGACGCCCAACTCGCTCAGACTCTCCGGTTGGTTTTCATAATACCGTTCTTGAATATCTTCGTCTTGGAGTTAATCCGATTTTTCTCATATTTTCCCCTTTTGGTTATCTTGCATGTAGTGATATGATGCCGCATGGGGATGAAGAAAATCAAGATTCTGATGATGAGGATTATGATGATTAATTTATGATAATTAAAACACAAAGCATCTTTTCCACTGTTTGTTTTGTTTGATTGTATGATGATGATCAGAATTTATATTTTTGTTAGATATTGGTCTGAGTACTGTTGTTTTTTAAGTTCGGATTGCACTGAATTATTATCGAACTCGTCTTTTCCTTAATAATTCTCTTATTGTGTAATCCATTATAACTTGAATTCTATAATATTTTTTTAATAATAGTTTTTTAAATGGTTCAATGACAATCACCTAGCTGGTTTTGTATTGGGTGATCTTTTTCTTTTGGTATCAGTTTTAATGTAACTAGATGCATAATTGGAAAGATGCTTTGGTTTGAATAGCATGGAGCCATTGCTCTTATAGGTTGTTCCTCGTCATTCACCTCACATGTGTTCGATATTGGATCGGTCCTGTAATCCAATCCATTGGCTTTGTATCCCCCTCTTTTTTAACTATTAATGATATATATCCATGATCCATAAAGAATATTTGCTTTTGTTTTGATTTATTATATAGATGATAAATTAATTTGTAGTGAATACTTATCAAATTTGACTTATTTTTACATAGAAAAACATTATCATGCTAATAATTTAAGTGGGATAGAGATTAAAATTCTATTTAATTTGATTATTTCGAATTCTAATAATTAATATGTATTGTTAAATTAACAATACACCTAATATTAGTTTAAAATCAATTTAAATTGATACTATTAAATACCCTAATTAATTATAAATCAATTAAACTAAACACATTTTAATTGGGATCCTAATTTAGAATCCATATGTCATATAGGTGGATCATAAAAACTTATTTTGAGTAATTGTTGGATTAATTTTTTTTAAACAGTACTTGAAATAGTAATTGCGAAATCGATGAGCCACTTGTTATTTAATATAACTAATTATAAGGTCATGGTCCCCCTATCTTAAATCTCCACTATCCGTCAAGTCAATGTTTGTTTTTTTTGGTGATACCGGTCAAGTCAATGTTGTTGAGCTGGAGATATTATCTTCATTCAAAGGACAAAAACAAAGTTCATATTAACAAATATAATATATATATATATATGTTTTAATTTGGCCATTAAAATTTTTGTCCTTTTGAACCTATCTTTTCCCTCTTCCCCTTTTGTCGCCTTTCACAGGTGGGAATAATTTTCTTCATAACATCATCATATTTCTCTGACCTTCAATTTGCTTGGTTGCTCGTAAAGTTTTAAGTCATTGTTAAGTTTTAAATTTTTGAGAAAAGCCTTTGTCAACACCCTCATGCTTCATTATTTTTCCATAACCTATATAGGGAATAGCTTAATTACTAAGATTTGCAATTAAGGGCTCTTCTTGGCTTAGATTTGGAATTTAATTTTTTTTAGCATTAATCTCAAAACTTATGTAATACGCCTAATTAAAAAAATAATCTTTACTTATTAACAAATATAAGTTATGAAGTCTATAATTAAGGAATTCTTTACTCAGTTACAGTTGCCTTTTAGGTGGAAATAACTTACACTTAATAGAATTTCTTAGGTAAATAGTAAATACTCCCTCATTTTTCAACTAAATGAGGTTTTAGGGAATTAAAGATAGATTAATAAAGCAAATTAATATCTATAATTATAGAATATAAAAGATTAATCTTACCAAATTACCCTTTTTGAAATTTTCAATGTAATTCATTAATTTTTAAACAATAAAAATGACAATAAAAGTGTTTGGTGGCCACTGCACCTTTCGATACCAGTTCATAATTAGATGGAAAATTGCACATAAATTAAAAGAAGGCTTAAACTCCAAACCTAGATTTTTTATTTTTATTTTTATGTGGAGCAGACCCACTGCATTTATATATATAGTGCCTATTACTTTTAAGTTAAAAATTTATATATATATAATATTAAATTTATTTGTTTTATTATTATCTTTATGTATGTAAAATTTTAAATTAATTGAACATATCTAATTAATTAACTGATTATATGAAATTTAATAATGTTAAATAACATATATTATTAAATATAAACTTTTTTGATTATATAATTATAAATATTAAATTAATTTAAAAATTAATATTCATAATTTATATAAATAAAAAATTAAAATTTTACTTGAATATGGAGAATTATGGAAGAAGATGATTTTTTTTAAGTGGTCAATGGGAGTCAAATTTTAAATTAACTTAATCCAAATACTTAAATTTGAGAATGAATCATTAGATCTAAAAATTTAGTTTAATTAAATATTAAATTTAATAATTAATTTTAAAAATATTTTTAAAATTAAAACTTTAAAATTTTTTAAAAATTATTATTGACATACAATATTCCTTAAATATATTATACCATATGATACTGATTAATATAATTTTTAATTTAATATATTATATAACATATATATTAAAAAATTATTACCTTCCAGAAGTTTAATAAGTATTTTTCTCCAGTCGGGCGACTCCGCCGATGTATTCACGAGAACAAACGGAAAACCGCGCGAGCCTCGCGAGTTGTAGCCAGACTCGAAAGTAATTTCTCTTTGTCGACCAATAGAATGTCATTTTTGACCAAATCAAGTCTAGCTAGTATTATTATTAATTTTTTTTATTTTTTTTGCCAACAAGTCTAGTTAGTTTACATTATTTAACTATTGGTTCAATTTGTTAATTAAAACGTTGGTTAAGAAGTTTGACTATCAATAATTAAACTAAAATAGTAAGTTAATTACTAATTCAATTAGTTGATTAATTGGTTAACTAGCCTCCTCCGTACAATATTTGATTAAAAAAAAGAACAAATTATCATTTATCTCAAGCAAATCTTGTACCGACAGCGTACTAAACTCTAATTTTTTCTATTTTTTATGATACTAATTTCTCAGTATATAGAAATCATAATAGATTTCGACTAATTTAAAATTAAATAACATCAGATCCATAAAAAAAATCTTTCTAAGTATATATTTTTTATTTATAAAATTTAAATTTAAATTTTTATTTTAAAAAAATGAATTCATTTCACTTGAATCAACTGGTTATTAATACATACTAAACTCTAATACAATAGCGTTCTTGGCTAATTTTAATCAACCGAGTAACCAAATTAAGCTACTATTCGATTATTCAATCAAGTCGGATGACGGACAAGTTGCCTACCCTTGTTTTTACCTTGCACATTCGTAGTAACACCTCGTGGATATTATTTTCTTTGTCCCAAAACTTTTCAGCAAACAAATTATCATTGTTTTCTTCGAGGAATTAAGACTATTTGGTAGATGTCGATCGAATCGAATCCACATGGAATAATTCAAAGTGCTTGCTTTCAGAATTGAAATATACTCCGCGTAGACTTCGGGTCTGGGTCAACATGTGGTTGTTGTATATAAGGGTTAAAATGCTATATGAATTGGTAGAGCAGAAAATAATTGGCCATTGGCATCGCTCCCCAGGCAAAGAGTGAAAATGATGGATTTGGGAACCGGCCTTTTGTTGCCGAACAGAAAGACTAGTTTTAAGTCAGTGCGCAAATGCCTCCGCAAGGGCAGATCAATGTCAAGGAAGCAGCAGGTATGTCTGCCAAGTTCTTTTCCCTACTAATTTTACGAGTCTAGAATTAATGGCAAAATTTTTTTTTTTTTGTTAATTTGACAACCATAGACTTTAAATGTGAACCCGCGGCAACGTTAATGACTAAGACTGTCCAAACTTTATCGTTTAAATTATTTATTTATTTATTTAGGATATAATAGGTATTCCAACTAATATACATATATCTTACTATCACTTAAATTATATATATATGAATTAGTGTTTGTCCGCCTTATTTTCAAAAAATTAAAAAAAAATAAAAATACCTAGATGCATGCTCTAAAAATATGGTAGTTTAATCTTTTTCAATAAAAATTTATTGAAACGATATAGTTTTGAGATGATTTTCCTCCTAATATTTAGGAGGTAAGGCTGATAGATACTATTTATATATACATATATATATATATATTTGTTAGTTGAGATTGGAAACCTGCAACCTCATATATCAAATCTTTTTGATTTTTTTCTCTTTTGTTTAACTTGAAGTTTTGGTGCCAGAGGAGAAAAAGATTGAATAACACAAACAGAAGAATTATGGAATTAAAAGCAGAGATGGAAGGGATCAGCCAAGAACAAAAACGCGTCAAGGAGGGGCAGGAGGAAGTAAGAGAAAAACTAATAAAACTTGGAGCTGAATGCGATCAGCTCAGGAAGGAAACAGAATTCATATTTAAACAGAGAGCTGAAACCCAGCTTCGACTCAACCTTATCTTTGAAATTTTGAAAGCAAAGAAAGACTGCAACCCCTCCAAAGTCACCAATCTTATTATGCATCTGCGGTTGGTCTAATGAACCTTTTGATTTTCCTCAATTAATTTCCTCAATTCATTAATTCTGAAACAAGATTACCAACTGATTCTGTTAATATTGTTGATCAGAGAAAAAATTAAGAAAAGAAGAGGGTAAAAAATAGATAAATTAGAACAAATTAATTGATGTCCTGTTTGTGATCATCATAAATTGATAATTATAATTTTGTTTTCTTCCTTTTGTTGCCAGTGGACTTACGGGGAAGCAGAGCGAGACACAGTGATCCTCAGAGATATGATTAAGGATTAATTAAAAGTTGATACTGATTATCTATTTTTAAACTGTACTGTTATGATATGAAAATGCAGTTGTAATCACTTTAATAATTGATTTTTAATAAAATCTTTATATTTCATTTAAAAAAAAAAAAGGTAGTTACTCAATACAAATGGTAACCAATTAATAAATAATCAAGTCTTTCTTGTTTAGGATTGATATATGGTTGCAACTCTTGATATAAGTTGTGACCAATTGATAAACATTTAACCATTGAATTATCATTTGGGGAGAAAAAATACTACGGCAGTCTCTGTTTAATAATCAATTGAATTTTTTGATTTAAATAAATCTTGTTTAATAGATTCATTTGATAAAGAAAATATCAATAGTCAATCAAATGCTTTATTTGAGTAGATTTTTTTATTAAAAAAATTATTTCAAAACAAGTATAAGAGGCACTTCATCCTATCATAGAACAACTTTACAATCCTGCTTAACATCCTCCACTCATCATTCATGGTACAGCGGCATTACTTTTAATTCCTCGTGTCTTGATCCACATCTCTGCTGGATTTGGGTTTTTACTTCCTACACATGGAGAAGGGATCAATTAATTTAGATGGATAAGACCCATTATTTTAGAGGCAGCTTTAAGTGTAGAATGATTTCTTTTGCTCCATGTAAGAGTGCTGGCAGAACATATGAAAGACAGAAAGATGGAGAGAAAATAGATAGAAAGAGAGAGTTGGTGCAGAAAATTTTATGATGTGATCAAATCAAACTCATGATCATAGTTAAAATTTCCGTTGTTCGTGATTATTATTTTGATTAGGAAAGAATTAAATGGTGATTTTTGCTTCTGCTATGCTCTCGTGGAATTGACTTGCTTGTCAACGATATTAACCAATATCTAAGGTTTGAGTAATTATATAAAAAAATCATTGCAAATACTAATTAATATTATTTAGATCAGATTAGAATTAGAATATTCATTGTGAAGGGATTGTTTTCAGTTCTCCCCATAAGCACTAAAGCTAAATTCACAAAGAAATATTTTTAATTCATCCTTGGTATGCATTCGCATATTGAATGATAGGTATTAATTCTAGGTGCATCAACACTGAAGCTTCCTTGTAATACCGGCGGAAGCTCATGGAGAAACTACCCTACTGGCCAAGCTACCAAGCCAGCATGCGTATAAAACAATTGCAAACTTGAACAGGATGTTAACAATATCCATATGTGTGGCAACAATTCTAGTCGCCTGACTCACCGGACACTGAGTATGGTGATGAGTGATGACTTCTATTTTGAGCCCCCTGAGGAGTATTTGATGCCCGGTGGCTGATGGGAGGATTATCAGGCAGCTGCATTCAATTAATTCTTTGTTTTATCAAGAACCCTGCTAATCAAGCAAATGAAGTTTGTGACACTGGAGGTACCGGTTTTAATTTGTTTCCCGCTATGTTCTTGTTCAATTGGCTTTCTTCACTTGAGGAAAAATCATTTTATGGACTATATGATACTATATAACACCACAACACATGACTTAAGAAAATTACATTTTGGCTCATACTTAACCTCAAATTTCTTAATTTCTTCTCATTTTAGACAATTGATATCTCTATTTTGACAATCTTAGTATCGCTTTTGACAATTAATTAAATTATAATTTTTTCGGATCACATAACCTTCACATGGATGCGTGCAATTTTGTTAGGAAAAAAAATTTTTGGCATGTTACATTTAAGAGTCATTTTTTATGTAGTTTTCTGTAGACTGAACTATAAAAAGTAGATTTTTGAATGAATGGATAGCCCCACATTCAAGGTGCCTCTTCCAATCCAAGTATCAGTAGCTGGAATGCAGAATACGGAATCATTTCTGTATATTCAATCCAGAAAAGTGAATCCATAAACCCGCCTGCCCCAAATCCAAACTGCACACGGTGGATCCTCAAAAAGAATTAATGGAACTGTGGGTCCATCCTTTCGACACTCGGCCGAGGATAGGGTTACAGCTCGGCTGGCGCGCGCGATTTCGACGTTGCTTCCATTTTCTTCTTTCCAACAAAAAAAAAACTTCAGTGTATGAACCGCGTAGAAGGAACTTCTAGTCTGTTCTAGAGAACTCTCTGGTCCCCATCCAAATCCTTTATATTATACTACCTTTTTGAATGTCAATTCTCCGTCGCACCTCACTACACACACTTCTCTGTCCAACAATCTTATCCGGTTACTAAACTCACAAGGGAAGAACCGGCTAGGACCGAAGAGACATCGGAGTCCTCGGAAAATGAAGCGCCTACAACAGGTAGAAATTAAACCAATTCTTTTCTAGATCTGGCTTTCCAGAGTTTTAAACACCTCAGCTCAAGCTTAATTTGATGTTCATCTCTTTAAAAAAAAAAAAACAAAATTTTAATTTTTTTCTTTGTTTTCGTAAAGGAAATGAAGAGGATGGGGAAGAAGGTAGAGAGGAAGCGGAGGGAATTAAAACGGAGTAAGAAGTCAATGAAGAAAAACGAAGCAGAACTGAGGAGAATTCAAGAGCAATTTGAAAAGGTGAGGAAAGCGATTCGGCAAGTTCACCAGAACAATTCTTTCACCGACGCCTTTGTTGAGATTAATCTTCACATTTTCGAGGCTGAACATGCTGGCAACTTCCTCGCCGCCCGGCAACACGCTGATACTCTCCGGTTGGTTTTCATAATTTCGTTTCTGAACATGGTCGGTTCGGAGTTAATCCGATCTCTCTCATATTTTATCCTCTTGATTAACTTGTAGTGATCTGATGGCCCATTGGTCAGAAGAAAGACAAGATTCTGATAATGATGATGATGATGATGATGATGATGATGAAGATTAATTTAGGCCAAAATCCCAAATCCATATAGCAAATCCGTTTATTAAAATAAAAAAGGGTAAATAGTCCTTCAAATAATCAATCGATACAAACAATCATTATTGAAGGGCTGAAGTCATCACACATAAATAATTCATTTATCATCTGATTTTGCTTTTAATGGAAAGCTCAGGTGTGATGATTCAATCATTTAATAATAATTGTTTGTTTCAATTGACAACTTAAAGGAATAATTTATCTTTTATCTCTACTCTATTTAGGGGATAGGTTTGGGGTTTGATCATTAGTTTATACTACTTGCATAAAAGCACTCTATACATTGATTTTTTTATTTAATATTGTACTTGGGTATGTTTTTACGTACTCTGGATATAGTCCTTTTGTTTTTTTTTTAGCCGGCAGAGCATTAAAACATGATTCTTTCTACAGGGATTCATGTATCAGATAGACGTTTCAGTATTTTAATATAATTTTTATTTGTTTAAAAAAATCACAAAGTATCTTTTTAACTGTTTACTTTTGATTGATTGTATGATGAAGATAACGATTATTTTTTGATTAATTCCGATGGTGCCTTTCTTTTCATCAAAAAATCACGAACAATCACCATAGGATTTTTTGCGGGTCGCCTTTTACTTCTTTTATCATTTTTACTGTAGTTACTAGTTAGATTTATAATTAGAAAGATGCTTTGGTTTGAATAGCATGGAACCATTGTTCTCATAGGTTGTTCCTCATCATTCACTTCACCTGTGCTTGATATTGGATCGGTCCTGTGATCCGATGTGAGCAAAGCAATGGCTTCGTAACCCTTTTTTTGACTATCAATGATATATATTCATGACCCATAAAAAATAATGCTTTGGTTAGATTTATCGTTAATTTGTAGCGAATAATTATCAAATATGGCTCTTTTTTTGCATAGAAAAACATTATGATGCTAATGATTTAAATGGGATAGAGATTAAGATTCTTTTTTATTTGACCATTCTTTATAGTTAATAATTGATAGAACATTTAATATTAGTTTATAATTAATTTAAGTTGGGGTTTCTAATATTGTAAGCAAATATATATATAATATATAAATTAATAAAATCAATCAAATTTAATATATTTTAATTGAAATTTTGATTTTGGACCATATATATGTCATATAGGTGGAACGTAAAAATTTAATATTAGTTTATAATTAATTTAAGTTGGGGTTTCTAATATTGTAAGCAAATATATATAATATATAAATTAATAAAGTCAATCAAATTTAATATATTTTAATTGAAATTTTGATTTTGGACCATATATATGTCATATAGGTGGAACGTAAAAATTTATTTTGAATAATTATGAGATTAATTTTTTTGAACATTATTTTTTTAATATATCAAATAACGTATTATCTAACAGAAATAGTCTTTCTATTCCTTTAACCCCTCTTTAACCCCTATTCATTCATTTTTAAACTCAAATTCAAAATTTTTAATTTAAAATTTCAATTTTTTAATTAATTAATACACCTCCTTAAGGAAAATAGGGATTCTTATTAGTTTAGATGTGATTTCCTGTTTTGGGGTCTTTCCCATTTGTTTCCTATTGAAGTTTTGTGCTAGTAGTTGTGAACTTAAAGTAATTCAGGATTTTGGGCTACTTTGAATTATTCATTTGGTTGTTTAGAATTTTAAAATAATGGTCTTTTTTATGGGTCTATATAGGAATTTAAAGGTAATTATTTATGATTTTCATAATTCCCTACATCATTTTATTTATATTTATAAGATTTACTTTTCATTAAGAAAAAAAAAAAGCTCCTTAGGCCTTTTTTTGAATGGTCCTTCCTTTTATCAACAAAATCAAATAAAAATATATTATTTAAAAATATAAAGAATACTCCAAAATAAAATACAACTCTAAAATAGTAATAGCGAGATGAATAGACCTCTTGTTTTTACATTACTAATAAATTAACTATATGGCCATGGCCTA